TCCGGAATTATCTCGAGAGATATGAATACATTGAATAGTGGAAATTTCGCTATATTGACCAATACCAGGGGTACTTGTCCTTCACTCATCAACTGGCGGCCGTTCAACTGTTTTTTAATCGCCGGTGCGGCCGACCATCGTTTTCCATTTTTCTCTCTGCTATATATTAGCCCTTTCAAATTCAAATCCCTAATCAAAGTTGAAAACCCCAAATTTCTTTTCTGTAATTCCATTTCCGCTTGTTCTTGATTTTCATGAATCATATAGATTCTTCCTGGTTCAAAATCTCAGTTTAATCCCATAAAAATCCCTTTCTCTTTCGAAATTCCATCAAAGCTGGCTCCTCAAGAACACCTTCAAGCCTTCGAATCTTCAATATCCAATGGCCTTGATCGCCTCTCCCCTTCATCCAACGCCTCAAACATCCACTCTCTGGCATGGCTTAACAACGCCCTAGACCTTCTCCTAACCATCCATGGCGGCCTCAAAACCCTAATTTCAGAGATCGACGTCCCCATAAAGAGATGGAGCTCAAAAACCCTAGATCAATACCTAAACCAAACCCTAGAGATCTTGGACCTCCTCAACTCTCTCGCCTCCAGACTCTCAGAAATTGAGTCAAGCCACCTGAAAATCCTTGGCACCATGGATTCCGGTGAGACTCTTACCTCTCCGGCAACATTCTCAGGCGATCCTCTTGTTTTCCCGGTGATGTTTACCGGCGACTCTCCGGCCGAGCCGGAATTATGTGAAGGCGAACGGGTGTTAATTCGAGCTTTCTATGAACTGAAGGTCCTGACCTTCTTGGTCATTGGGGCTTGGGGTATGTACACGTGTAGAAAAACCTCCCACATGTGTGGCATAGGTCTTTTGAGCAGGGACTTCAGCTGGGGAGAAGCCGCAGAGAAGATTCTCACGTGCAAGTCTGGGCTTAAGGCCGGAGGTCGAGGTGGAGGCGTCGCTTCGCTCGTGTGGGATTTGGATGCTGGCACGTGCAAGAAGGAGAGTTCGAAGAATCGTTTGGAGGAGATGAGGAGGGTCCTGGATTTCGCCACGTGCCGCGTGAGGAGGTACTTTGACGATATCATGCGTGTGAGGACTGATGTCTTGGATGTGATTCGCACGTGTGAATCTCACTAGTCATCGAAACTCTTGTTTTTTGTCTCATGTGTAATGAGATTATTTATTTTCAACGAGGTCACAATTATTTGTTAATCGTGGGATGTGAATTTGGGCGATTGATGTTGTTCCATTTATTGGGCATAATATTTAAAATAAAGTTATTGAATATTATGATATATTTTAAGTTATTGAATTTTACGTTTAATACTTAAATGATTTTGACCATTTTGTACAAAAAATAAATAGTCCCACGGTTTACGATTTCTTTTGTTTTTGTTAGCCTTTGATCACTCATGGCTATTACTTCAGCCAAAAGATTGTTGTGTATATGTATATTTTTGTCTATAAATTGTTATTGGGTGTGGTTTATATAAGGCTTAAGGCCTTGAGTAATCAAGGTAGGGCGCACCATGAACAGTATCGAAAGATGTCATTTTAGCACCGAAAATTTTTATGATGGATTGAAATTTTATTTTTATCTTTAGTTATGAAATTTCTAGCTTCAAAAATAGTGTATATCAAGCACATCTATGGACACATAAAAATCTTGAAAATTAACGATCTAGATAATGCATTATGAGATACACTATATTCAATACTTCAAAATTTTTTTTTTTATATCTATTTATCGGTCAAAATAATTAAATTTGAGAGTTTTATAGCATCAAAACAGCCTCTACTTATTGTTTTAGGTGCGTTTTTATTTAATTGTATAGGGCCTCAGCCTTATATAAACTTTTTTCAATTGTTATTTGAGACAATGACCTTCAGCATATATGGTCTATTTTAGGCCATCTCAGTCCTAATGTGGAAGAATAATATATTGACAATCAAACCCATTTTAGGCCATCTTTAAGTCCGAATATTGGGCAATAATATATTGAAGATTAAACCTACTCAAAGGCTCGGCTAGCTAGCGCAAGAGCACCGGTTCGAGTTTTGAGAGTAGCCACTTTATACATAAGCCAAAGGTTAGGATTATTTCTAACCCACCTGAAACCCTATTTAAGCGGGATCAGTACCGGATTACAACCTTTTTATTAAACCCACTTGAAGATAACACGTTTCCTATGTCTTTTCTCTCTCGGATTCTCTCTCTCTACACTGTAGCATAATCCTTCAACAGAAGGTGGTTATCGTTTCTCCATGATTCGTTGGGTTGTATTGTACTTTCTCGATTAATTAAACCACAATTACTGGATTTTTTTTTCTTGGTTGGTGACAGAAGGAACAGAGGGGCTGTAATGGACTTGGGAAGTTTATTTAAATACGATTAGAGATCAAAAGACACATGGTTGGGACTTGAAGTAGCTGCAAAAAAGGGTAAAATACTGAATAGTTCATCTTTTATGCATAATTTGATGCAAAATGGTAAATGCTAAATAGTTCATCGTTTCGATTTCAGAACAGTAATTTTCCAATCCTAGCTTAGGAATGTTAGACATTGATTAAGTGAGTCAGAGTAATTTAATTTAATTTTTGCTTATAAACCATTTTACATTGAATATTGGGGCATGCACATATCAAATAGGGGCACATTTGAAAAGTAACTAGAATACATTTAAAATTTGCAATTGGTTATTTTTTTTAGAGTAATGATTTTATGAGACCCTCCTACACTTGTGTGTAAGATCCCAAAGGATCACCATTAAATTTAGTACACATCTCTAGAAAAGTTATCATATAGGTGTGAGACTTGATTTTTCTAGAGATCTGTGCCAAATTTAATGGTGATCATTTAAATTCTTACGCACATGAGTGTGGGAGGGTCTCATAGGATCATTACTCTTATTTTTATTGAAAATATTTTTTTATTTTTGCTAGGTACAACAAAATATAAGGTGGGTACACTCAATTTTTGCTTAGAAACATAGAGAACAAATTTTAAAAATTACATAGCATTTTGACTTTTTTTTCGGTAAGATAGTGGGGATTTGGGCCCCTACCATTTTTTCATTAATAAATAAGAATGGTACAAAAGGATAAAGAGTTTATAGTATAGTTCTTTCATGAGAAGTCTTGGTCATATCAGAAGAAATTAGAGGATAAATAAATCAGGTGGTTGGGCACGCCGAACCGTAGCCTCAGAGAGACTTGTAGCGCTCTTGGCCAAGTGATCAGCTACCGAGGGCGGCCATCAAGGTGGTAAAGGCAATTTGTGGTCATAATATGAAGGTTTCTGATAATTCCTCAACAACTAGCTGCTCCAAGGTTGCCAAGTTACGAGCCATCAATGTTTAGTTTATAGAGACCTGCAAGTGGTGGAGACCATGAGACCAAAATCAAAGTTTTAGGATACATTGGGTGCAACTGGATTTTGAGGTTATCAACAATAATAGGTGGAAAGTCTATCCTTTCACATTTCCTAAGCCCGCAAGAATAGAAATGATCTGGTGCAATAGTTGTTCTCTTTTGGGTTACTTTCGTTCCAAAATACACAAATTCTTGTAAGTCTAGAGGAGCCAGATGGTTGTAGAGAATAGAGATTCAAACATTGTGAAATCCTGCTAATCGGAATCCGAATTTGACCAAACTCTCAAATATTGAAGGTATCGATGGGCTTATAGGGAAACTTTTGCCACATTATCACATTGCCACATAATAGACCGTAAGAGAATCTGCGAGAATGTACATAACAAAATAATATGATTAACAGAATCACCTTCATTCAGGCATAAGGGGCAACGATGTACTAGATGGATCCCTCTGGACTGTAGTAGTTAAGATGTAGGCAGGCAAAGATGAAGGGAAATCCAAGTGAACCATTTGGCTCGAGGATGGGAATGAGAAGCCCATAAATTTTTGAAGATCTCTCTGATGGGAACTCTGTCTCTAATATAGTTCCAAGCGCTCTTAATAGAAAAAGATCCATCCGAGGAGTGAATCCATACAAAAAAATCATCAAAAAGTTGATGAGGGATTCACAGCTTGCCAAGCTCAAAACAAAGGCCCAGTAGTAGTTCTTCGCAAAGAGTAGGGTCCAATGGTGAGGCCTGATAGACACTATTGTTGGGGATTATCAGAGATAAAATCAGTTAGACTGGACTTTGTAGGTAGAGCCAAGTCCTTAAATGTTATATCCAAACTCATCCCCAAGAGAGACAGCTGAAAGCCATGGATCTGAGCAAGTTATCTATTTAGATTGGACAGCTAGGATGTTGGACTATATATTCATTGTGTTGATGTCACCATATGTAAATTTTCCCTATTCTAAATTGGTGTCAATATTAAAAAGAATAAATTTTCCCTATTCTAAATTGGTGTCAATATTAAAAAGAAAAATCTACAAGAAAATATATTTAACTATTATGTTCTATTTAAACATAAACCTATCATGTAAGAAAAAAGTTTATAGAAGGTTGCAACCTTAAAATGTAGAACTACGGATGACCTAAAAAATCTATCGAAAAAATGTTGTTTTAATGTTGAAAAACACTCTAATTGATCATCTCAACATTGAGCTATATAACTATGGAAAAAAAAAGGATTTTGAGTCCTAAAAATTGTGCATCTTACAACACATTATCTAGACTGTTCATATATTTATAAATCTACTTGATTTTAACCATTTTTGGAGTTTAAAATTTTACAATTAGATATGAAAATAGATTTTGAGATAATCTTAGCGTCTTAATTGGATTGTTTAAGGTCGCTACCTTTTGGAAATCACACCCATTATGTAATACTACAATAATAGTATGGCCTAACAAGAACATGGCCCAAGTGCCATGAACGGAGAATACGTGGAAAATTGGATAGTGAAAACGGAGGAGAGAGAACTTTTTTTCTGATTTACATACGGATCATAACATTTTAGGTAAAATATGAATTTGCTCCACTGAAATATTTCTTATGGGAAGGGGCTTGACAACACTTGTAGTAAGAGGAAGAATTTATGCTCGGATCTATTTGTGAAACAATAGAGTAAATGAGAAACATACCTAATTTAGTTTAGAAAGGTTGACGAAAAAAGGAGAATGAATGATTAGGGATTAAATAAGGTCTTTCTTTAATTGGGGATAGAGGGACTTGAACCCTCAAGATTTATAAAGTCGGCGGATTTTTATTCAATTCAATCGTACTACGCAATCTTTTAAAAGTTTTTTCAAGTGAGTTATTTCAGCTCCACGGTTTCTTTTCTTCTACCTTCCATCCCTTTAAATCAAATAAAGTATGACATGACCGATCGATAGAAATACTCCAAAACTCCATCTTTGTCATATATTTCATATATCACACTAAATAGATATCATATTCATGGAATACGATTCACTTTAAAAAAAGCTAACTCCTAATCTACTTAAAAAAACCGGTAGGGACATGTCTTCCCTATTGAATAATCCAAAAAAGAACTATAAAGAAGGTCAGTCAATCCAACATTTTTTTTTTAAAAAAAATTATCCCTCAGGCAACCTCAATTTCGATTTTGTTTTTTAGTTTGTTTTTGTTTGTAGGGCAATGCCCAAGCTTTAAGCACGGCCCTACTAATAAAAACTGAAAAAAAGCTTAAGAAGAAAAATTGATCGACTTTATTTGTAATTTTTACATATAAGTGGATATTTTATATTTTACATAAAAATTTAAGATCCTTAAGTAAATCACTTAAAATCTTTTCATAGAGGGAGAAACAAGGACAAAAGAGAAAAAATAGAGGAAGAGAATCACAAAGAGAGTGAGGAGGAAAAGAATTGTAGAGAGAGAATTACAGTGATAAAGATTTCAACTTCACATATCCATTTGGGTTTTGCTAAGAATTGTTATGTGAAATGAACCACAGAGAGTGCGGAGGAAGAGAATTGTAGAGAGAGAATTGCAGTTAGGACAGAGAATGTGTGGGTAGAGAAACAAGTAAATTGGAGTATTTGAAGAGATCTAGAGAGGAGAAAGAGAGAAAAGCAGCTCCATAAATCCATGAGAATTGCATACCCATCGCTATAATGGCATAAGTCTCTTTCTACTATTCTTGCGGTTCGTCCTCTTTCTCTCTACAATTCTTTCGATCTCCAAAAGTCTCTTAATCTCGATCAAATGCTTTTGGGAAATTTTCGTACGGATTGGATTTTTTTATCGTTATAACGGTATGATCCGAAAATAGCTTGTTATTACCTAACAGAACGCCTCCAATATTTTTTATTTTTTATTATTTATTTATTTATTTATTTTTTTAATGAAGTTTGCCAGTAT